GACCAACCAATATACTTTTGAGTCGATCACCATTTTATTAATCACTTTTAACTGATTATCTTTAGGCTTATTTATTACCTTGGACAATCATCCTTTGATCAATCATTTTCTTGGTTAATCATATTGACTGATCATTCAAGTCAACTGACAAATCAATCAAGTACATTATTAAGTCAATCACCAGGCAAACCAACCAATTGCAAAATAAAAATCAGATTAATGCTTAGTGAATAATAATTATGAATCGAAGTGTGTTGAGTAGGATATAATTCATGCCAAAAAAAATTAAAAATCTATAATAACTATTATAAAAAATATATAAAATGTAATACTTTAGGTGCATTTAGTACTATTTTAATCACTTACATAATGATTTAAATATCATAGTACTTGTGCAAATACTATCTAAACGATTTTGTAGAAACGAAAGATTTATACCGAGAAAATGTATTAAAAACATCTGATACCGAGAGTACAAGGATGTTGGTTAATCCAACCAATTTCACCCTCATTTAATTCATTATCATAGAAACATGATCTACCACAATATTCTAGAGCTTCTTATTTCGAGGTCACATGTTATCAGAAAAAGTTAATAAATTTACAATTATATTTTTCATACAAAAAGCTTACTATAATACTTGTATTTTTTTATTATATCAACCATATATTTAATCCTATATTATTCTAAAAAATTTCGCGTGCAGCCCACTGAGAGGTATTAAACTTTTGTGATCTTAAAACTCATATCCAAGCTTTAACCAAAGTCCAGTCAAATTGAGCTCATAAATATGAATATTAAAAGCCACCTTTTAAGTTCTGTCCTACTACTTGTTCTAATAGCTTATTCCAAATTAAACTACCACTTGTAAACCCTTCAAGCAAACGACCACTTGGTCCAGTGTATATTGATTAATTGATTAACGTAAATAAGAACAAATTAATAAAAAAAACATTCACATCTCTGTATCATTAATAAAGACATTCCTTATTTTATTTCTATTTATGCATGTATCAAGATTATACTATATAACTATGAACGAATTGATTTAATCATATAATGTAATCATTTATTTATTTTATATTAAAATAATAACTTTTCAAAAAATCATATTTTTATTTTTTTATCAGATAATTTATAATCCAGTGTCAGTATAAATTTTATAATTTTTCAATATATTATAAATACTTATATTTTAATTTTTTTTACATTTTGAACTTAATATATTTTTTATTTACAATTAATTTAAAAATTTAAAATAAAATAATTGAAGTGAATGCCACTTTATTGAAATATGAGGGTATGTTATCTATTAAAAACATAAAGTATGAGTATTTTTTATTAAGAATATTAATTTAAAAGCTAATATAAATGTCATTTCACTACAAAAATATATATAAAAAACTGTGAACTTTTTAATTTAAAACTAAAAAAAACAAACGTAATTTAAAATAAGCTCTGAAGGAGTTAGATACAATTTCTGATGTTTAGAATAATTTCCAAACACTTGTAGATTAACACATGTATAATTCATGGTTATCAACATGTTGATTGTTAAGTAGTGAAGATAAGTGGAAGTTGGACCACTAAGAGGAATATTTTGTTTTCTTAAATGCACAAATATTAATAATTTTTAAGCATTGGAGGTTGCCAAAGCTACATGAATTATGCTAAAGTCGTCCACATTCAGTGGCAAAAAGTCAAAGAAGGAACCATTCAGTTGCCAAAGCTACATGAATATAAACCAAACAAGCTGACCACAAAACTTCCCGATCTATAGTTTTATATATTAAAAAAAAAGTTGTAATCTGGCCTTTAATCTGAATTCTTCCCCAGTATTGTATAGATGATGAAAAAATAGATTCACTATTATCTTTTTATTCATACGCAATACTCGGATATTTCGGTTGCGAGATCGAGTCATCAAACACCTTCACAATTTGCTATCTCCTGTTGTCCGGTCTCGCTATAAGATCTTGTGTCTAGCTCTCCCGTTCGGAGGTGTAAGTGCTAAAGGTTCTCTGATGCCAAAGTCAGTATGTCCGATGCCAAAGTCAGTATGAGTACCGGTAATTCAATATAACAGCAATAAATACGCAATAAATGCAACCAACCTACCTCTTACCTGTATTTATAGTTTTCGTCGTGGGCTTGAGATTAGTGAGATGTTAATCACAGCCCAATTTCAGCCCAATGATTTTAATCATTACTTACCTTAATCTTCGCATAAATAATCTACAGAGTTTTTGCGGTCGTTCATTTTCAATCGTCCGGAATAGTTTTATGACCGTCCGATCAGATCAACCACTCCTGTGACCTTATGACCGTCCGGCCTATATCTATAAATAACTATATATAACAAGTACTTTTCTCTCGTACAATAATTTATATTCTTGTTTTACTTCTTATAATATAATTTTGAATTAAGATTCATTTCGCGTTTTGGGGTTCTTTTCTTTGTTTGCGAATTGGGTTTCATTTTCTAGGGTTGATTTTGCATTTTGGGTTTTGGTGTTCATGATTTTGCAATTTGGGATTTTCCGTTCTTACTTTCTCAATTTTTGAATTTGGGATTTCTGGTTGTAGGTTGTTGAATTGGATTTTTGGGGTTCCTATTGTTGTGTTATTGATTTTTCTCTGCTGGTTTGGTATTGCAATTTGAGGCTAGGGTTTGAATTATGATTTTGGATTTTCACTTGGAGGATGATGAATGTGAATTGGGATTTTGTTTTTTTTTTTCTTTTTCGATTCTCTTCTTGGATTGAAGATGTTGATGATGGTTGCTCGAGTTGCGGCGGGGAAGACGCTGGTTGGGACGACCATGGGTGTTGCGGTGATATTGAAAGTTCTTTCTTTGGTTGATTTTCCGTTAAAGTCCTGCATCTTTGTTGTATTGAGATTTTAGATGGAATAAAAAATTAAGAAAGACTGTACCGATGACATGAAAAAGAAAGAATAAGCAAATTAATTTGGATAAAATTAAGAAAATTGCCACATCAATTGACAGCCTAAGTTTATCACGTAACATGTTATTCACTATTGACTAAAGTGAACATTACACTATTAATATTTTTAATGTCGCTAACAAAAATAACCAATTTGAACCAAAACATGAAATTATTCTGAACAACTTAGAGATAGGAGGACTACTTTAATAAGTTTGATAACAATGTAACAATTTAAATCATTTTATTTAAAAGCTATATTATTTATAAGACATAGTTTTGTATTATAAGTTGTGTTTTATCTTCGTCACATTTTCTTTTTTTTATCATGGTTGTTAATACTTCAGCCTACAGTAAATATTGTTTATGTTTTGAATTTATATTATTGTTTGCATTGTCTTGATATTTGTCAATATAAAATTCATAGTCATTCCTTTACTCTCACTAGAATATGATATTCATACTATCAATTTTCGTTATATCTGAACAAGTTAAAGTGATTTATTTTTTTGCCAAATATTTGTTATTATCGAAAACATGCATAAACACACAAATTATTATACTATCTAAAGACTTTAAATATTATTTTAATTTCATTTGTTTTAAAAATGATAATTATTAAATCAATTTATTTTCCTTTTTACTTATTTTAATTAATTTATTATAGATATTTTATGATTTCGATAGTATTAAATATAATTATACTTTCCTAGTGTAAATGTTGATGTAAGTTTGTGCAAACGTAATGGATGTTTATGTAAATATACGTAAATATGAATTATATCACAAATATTTAAAAGATACATACACACAATATAATAACCCCTGTGTTTTCACTAATATATATAATTTGTTTATATTTTTTTAAGTGTAATTTTTATTATTAATTTGGTACTGTCCTCATATTCTGTTTTATATAATAGCAAACGATTAATGAACTTTAGAGAATTAAAATAATGTGTCACAATTTATAATTATATTTTATGACCTTATTTGAATGTTAAACACGAACGAAACTCTCTAACTGTAAAATTGTTGAAAGATGAATAAATAGAAAAATTAATTATGTTATATGGCGTGTGAAAAGTTTTCCGAATTCTTAATTATGTTTTTTTTTCTAGACCGAGCCACTTGTGGAGTTTACCAGGTAAACATATTGAAAAAAAAAGTCAGTATATAGTATGGAAGACGTGAATGTTTTGCTGAATGTTATCGAAGCATAATTCAACCTAAGGAAAAGTTATCCTGAGATTGCTTTCAGTAAAATTCTATAAGTCAATAGTTCATTTTGCTTTAATTATTTGAAACTTCTGAATGCACACTTAATTTTGTATTCATTCAATATTTATTAATTTTAAATTTTTTATATTTCTTAATAGTCTTTTCTTAATTTGTTTATTTTCTACAATTAATTCAATATTAAAAAAAATAATAACTGGTATAATTAACACCACGAAAAATATTTCAAATTAAAATTAATATTTTTTAAACACATAATTTATTAAATAATATATTTATCATTTAATATTTATAAGTAATATGTTTTATATTTTCATAAATAATAACTCTACAATCATTTAACATTCGAATGTCAAAATTAATATATAAAAATAATTAGTAAAGATCCAAAGCAACTGTAATTACTTTTAATGCAAATACAATATTAAAACAATTTTTTTATTAAAAAAGTAGAAATAAAATATTTAGCTTACTTATATCCAGTAGAATATATATTTTAAAATAATTTTATAATTTTGATTATAATAATTTGAATATATTTTATTTTTACTGTTAAATTAGTAAAAATAAAGATGAAAAAAAGAATGGTTAAAAATATTAATAATTAAACAGTTACATTACATATATTTTTTAGGAGAGGTGAAATTTGCATTTGCATTGATTTAAAATATATTTAAACCTATTAAATTAATAATGAATTGATCAACAATCAACTTCCACTCAGTGTGTAACAGCTGTGCAGGGTCACCATTCCCTCTGCTGCAGAGAATCGTACCTCTCCAATAATTAATTATTAATTTATGGTCTCTTCACTAAGATATTTTCTTCTCTCTCTACCACGTTTCCACCGTTGTAATAGTACCATGCCCTTCTTCAAACCAGACTCATCTTATGAGAAAAGCTGATGAGTGATTCTCTTCTAATCTGTGAATCATTCAAAATGAAAAACCATTCGATCATTCTCTTCGCCGATCGCGCTCGTGCTTCGCTTGTCGTCGCCAAACACACGGTTCCTTCTTCCTCTATTTCATTTTCGCCGCGTTTTTAACTCAACTTATGCTTTTGCTTACCGTGAACTGTTTGATGCTTAGTTCTGTGACCTAACGTGGAGAATGAGGAAGCTATAGAATAGAGACGGATCTGCCAAGGTACGGTTCAAATTCATATTCATAAATATGCATTTATTAGCGTTTTAACGTATGTATGATTGTGCGAGTGTTTCATTCGCTGAACTTGTGTTTTGGCCCCCATTGTTTTGATGTTTTGAGCTATATGTACTTGTTTCTGGTTTTTATTCTTCTTTTTACGACTTATGAGAGATCGACATGGATTCTGTGGTAATGAGAATTCGCTGATTGGTATTTTTTCCTCCCCCAATTTATGCCAATTGCAAGTAGCATATGGTGCAACATTGTTTTTGTGTTTGCTGCTTTACCTTTTGTTTAGCATGAATGAATTCTCAAATTGGTTAGCTTTCATATGTCAATGATAATATTATGGATAAATAGATAATTAAAATTTTTGATCTACCAAGGTTGGTAATGGTTCCGCTTACCATTAATAATTATTATATAATTACAGTCATGAATCCTTGGGAATAAACCATCAGTTTTGTCCTCGGAACAGTACTTTTTCACTCCTTCCTAAAGGTATAAAAGTATCCTCAGTATTTTTTTTAGTAACAAATTCTTTTTGAAAAAGAATTCGCATTTATGAGATCCCTATTTAAAAAACTCAATGTGAGATTTATATTAAAATATTGCTTTTATTTATCAGAAATTCATCTAAGTTGGAGATAGATCTAGTCTTTAAAATAATGAAACTATTTAAGTAATATTTCTGGTATCGAATATTCAGTAAAATAGTTCCTTAGTTGTGGTTTACTAATGTTGAAGAGTATTTTTACTATTTAAAAAAACTATCTAGTATGATTTCTAGTAATTATATGGGTCACATACATAATTTTGGTTGGAAGGAGAGTGTAACATGGAGCCAAAATCAAGCTCCTTCCAATTCAATAGGTGAAACAGCAAAAAGCAACAAAATGTAAAACAACAAAACACCAACAAAAATAAACTCCGAGGAAGTTAGTTACATATGAATCTGACATGACTAAAGATTCAGAGGGTAACTTCATAAGGAGAAGTACCAGGGCAACGTGAAGGAACCTTTATTTGAAAAGTTATCTTATTGAGAGGTTTGTACTTGTGGTGAGCCAATTCCCTATGATATTTCTTTTCTTCCTAATCATCTGTTCAATTTCTAGAACTCAACGGTTTCTTCTCCCTTTCTATGGTTGATTGTTTATAATATTAATATTGGGTACACTTTTGCGTTTAAACCTTATAGTTTATTTAAATGTCGCATGAAATATTAATAATAAAAATTATAAGCAAAAATAAACAGTAATAGGGTAGTTTGAAAATCTGCAGATAGTATACCAATAACCTATTATAGGAAGGTAGAAAACACAACTCATAATTTCAGAAATTGAATAGATAAATTAGGGAAAAAAAGTATAAGAGAGAATTTGCTCATCACAAACACAAACTTCTCAATGAGCATAACTTTGTTTCGCCCTCGTGCTTCTCCTTGTGACCATACCCTCTAAATCTTTAACCACATTACCTTCACCTCTAACTAACTTTGTCAGAGGTTATTGCTTAGTGTTTTTCTGTTCTGCATTTTATTGTTTTTGTTTTGCTGATTCACTTGTTGAGCTGCGAGGTCTCGATTTGGGTTGCATAGGTAACATTGCTCAAATCAAGCCTTTCAGAAATTGAATAGATAAATTAGAGAGAAAAAAGAGTATCAAAGGGAAATCGACTCACCACAAACAAACTCCTCCATGACATAACCTTTAAATAAAACGTTCCTTTGCTTTACCTTCATGCATCTTTGGATCTTTAACCACATCCTTCACATGTAACTAACTTCCTTAGAGGTTGTTGCTATGTGATTTGTTGTTTCGCATTTTGTTGCTTTGTGTTTTGCTGTTTCACTTGTTGGACTGTAAGGGCTCGATTTGCGTCTTCATTTGAGCTGGATGTTACAGATAGAGGGTGACAGATTGGAGATGTTACATATACATGTGAGGGCGTACACATTGATCATTCAAACTAAATGCGTGTTCAGTGTGTAAGTTATTTGAGGAGTGAGATAGCTTTTCAAAACAAGGTAATGTCACTTCTAGTAAATAAAGTTGATCCTAAAATGTCCCGAAGAACTAAGTTCACTTTCAATATTTAATTATATGTGGTATTTGTTTCGAGCTGAATTTGCATTTCTTAATTTGAGATATGGTTTGTTTTTAGTTTTATATAGAGATCTTTTATGGTTTTCTCCTAAAGTTCTCTCAATTTATTAATGAATTAAGGAAGAAAGATGTTTATAAACTGGTATTTCTTTCAAAAGACTTTTTTTTTCTAATATGATGGAACAATATATAATCAACTATTTTATAGTTGATTATGTTATTATGTTTTATTTTTAGATGGGTAATGTGGAGAATAGTTTGGAAGAATTTGTTTTTGTTTGATTGTCTTGAAGCAAACACAAATTTTATTAGAAACAGTTATAGAAGTAGTATGAAGATATCTCTTATAACTATTTTTGTATTTAAAGTTATTAGTTATTGAGAATAAAGTGAGGAAACAAATTTTAACGGAAAAATAACTTGTTAACTTTTAATAATAATGTTAAAGACTGTTTATTATAAATTTTTCTTTGTTATTATTTCAATCTTGGATTATAATCTGAATAATCAAATATATTTGGAAAGTAACATACATTAATAACATTTTTTTTTGTCATTGTAAATATAATTGGGATTTGCATATTCTTATATACGATTTTTTATCTAATATAAGTAGTGGTTGCGAAAATGAATCATGCTGGATGTTTATCTAAAGAAAATATCTATTTTCTTCAATTCAATACGATATCATGTTATCTAATAACATGAAAGGATCGAAACTCATAATCTTGAAAATAAACACATCCTAAAGGCTTTCTCATTTTATAGAGGAACCACAACTTGATCGTATTTGGATTTTGAGGGTTACGCGTTGGATTGAATTGTATTTTTGACGGATTGAATTGTATTTTTGACATTTGTTTTTCAATTTTATTTTTTAAATATATAATTTTTAAATTAAAATAATTATTTTATTAATATTATCTTTTAAGTAATCGTTTGCTTAAATTTAACAAAATTATTTTATTTGATATTTTTTTAAACTTAACGACTTTTTAATAAAATATTACTTATTAAATAAATAAAAAGCTACATACAATAAAATTATAAAAATTATTCATATTTAATTTCATAATTATAATAACAATAATAATATTAATTTTATTACTTTTATTATCATAAAAAATATGGGACTACATAATAATAATTATTATTATAATAATTTCACTAGTTCTATATAATTAATTTCTATATTTTTTTTTAAATATGAAAGACAGTTAAATTAATTAAAATTTGTGGATAGTAGTATAATTACAAGAATAATATTTTAAAACATGGGACTTGTTAGAACGTAAATATAATAATATATATAATTGACATTTTATATAAGTAACCACATTGTTTTTCCTACTACAATTTGATTATTTTAAATAATCCAAATCAAACATCTTAAGTTCTCTTTTAGCATATCATATCCTAGCATAAAATTTATTTCATATAATTGATTATAAGAATAAACGATTATTTCGTTAAACTAATTTTATAATTATTATAAACAATCCAATCAAAATACATTGTTTATACGAGAAGAAAAAGGAACTCATGTAAAGAAAATACATTGTGTTCTAGTTTCATAAACTTAATGATAGGTTGAGACTTAGTGTTAGATGTCGTTATTTAAATTATGGCTGCTATCTACCTTTTGTTTTTTTAATGTTACAGCTACAAATAGCAAGGTACCAAACCACAATACTCCCATAGCTTTTAGCTAGTGTCAGTACAAAAATGTACTTTCACCATTTTGTATTCTTTCAAATATTTATGCATTTCACATTCAGTGCAAATTCCTCATTCCCTTGCATACCTATTTCTGACGATTTTTATCTATGGGAAACTGAATTCTGGGTGTCAAAATGAGTGTGGGGGTAAGAAAAGAATATTTTAATTTAAATTTGTTTTTTTTAAATAATAAAAAATTAGTGTTATGTAATTTATGTTTTCTGCACGTACTTTAATATCCCCTTAAGAGTAGTTGAAGTTTGTAATACTTGTAAAATAAGAGTAGTAAAAACGTTACTCTTTTTTTTTTTTTTTTATTGAGAGACCTTTATATGTCAAAATTTTAACGAATATATATGGTTTGGATCCGTGAAAATGTACTTGGAATATGAAAATAATTGAAAAAAAAAACTAAACTTTTATATACTTCAAGAAACGAAGTGTCACCTGTTTTTCCTTTACTAGTAAATTAATTTTTCTGCTGTATAAATTTTTAACTTTATATTCGTTTTAACGAGTTTTATTCATAAAATAATTAATGTGCTAATGAAATTTTATTATTGTTAATTAGAGTCGTTCCTCATCTTAAAGTATGTGCTTGAATTTCAGTTAGGGAATTAAGTATGTGTTTGAACTATCGAAAAAACACTGGTTGAACAATCACATCAATACTTTTAGAATAGGATTTGTCTTACACTCAAGTTTAAATTTTATGATTCAAATGATTGAAAATTATAGGGTAAATTGTCTGACAAAAAAGTTTAGTTGAACTTGTAGCTGTATTTTGAACTCATTTTGCATTAGTATCTGTTTTGAGTTGAGAAGGAAAAGAATATAGATGATTTTGATGTATGATCAAAGTTTGGAATCATCACATCTTATAAGTTGTAAGTTCTTGGATCAGCGTCAACTAGTAAGCTATTTGCTATACCAATATTCTTCGGGACCACTACAAAAGCTATTTGTCAGGTAATTTTTTGGTAGTCATTTAGTTATTAGTATAGCGCCGTCATATATAATGATTCTGTTCTATTGAATAGATACAGGCTGATTTATATATTTAATTAATTTATAACCAGTACTTAATAATTATTGCATAATTTATTTGAGATTTGATACTCTTCAAGTTAAGTTTATAGTCGGAGCTTCTTTAGTATATTATTTAATTCTTAATCTATTATCACTATTCAAAATAATAACGAACTTTCATTATTATCTAATAATTATCCGTTAAGTCATGGAATGTTTCATCACTAGACTAAGTTTTATTGCAATCATTACTTTAAAATAGGAAATTCTTTTTGGTGTTCTTGACAGTTAACACATAATTAAATCCTGAAGAAGTTATAACTGAGCTGAGCTTCTAGTCAATTACTCAAATCATTGTGAAAAAACTGGAGTTTAAAATCTGAGTTTGAATTTGATTACTTTTAACTCTTAAAACTAGAGCTGGCCTGTATTATTAGAAAAATAATTAAAGATCGTATTGTGGTGCTGATGTCATAATTAAAATCTTAGGAATCAAATAGAATTTTGTATTATTAATATATCACATTGATGCTAATTTTATGCTATTGAAATTTCTTTACTTGTTGAAGACTTAATTTATAATTGAAGAATAAAATTAATGTTATTATCGTAAAAATAAAGAAATCATTAATCTTATATATTATACTTTTTTTGAAAATTAAAAATTTACAATATTGAAGGAGTGTTCCCTTGGAAAATTTTGAAATACTCCTTGAGAAATTATTATACTACTTTTTCTTAATTTTATGTAATTATTTGGTATGGTGTTACTTATAGTTCAAAATTGTCAAAGTAAAAATCTTGAACATGGTGTATGACATAAAACAATAGATGTTTTTCTGGGTCTTTCGAACTTTTTTTTTTCTAATGAGACTACATGTATCTTTTTGGAAAGACCATCCTACTTAATTTGGGTAGTATCTTCTGGCATTTTGAACTGTTCAAACTGATGAAAATTATTTGTGTTTTTTCACTTTCTTAAGTCTTTCCACAAATGAAAATTATTGGTTACAAGACTGACACAAACCAATAGTTTTGTTTCTGCTATCCTGTTCCTGTATGTGATGTCAAGTTAGGTCACAAAAGTAATTAACAAAAAAAATTATTACTTTGAGGATTCCAATTTGACAATCTTAATTGGTGACGCAGATTGGTTTTTGAGCTTCCTTTTGTTAAGTCTTTTATTTGGCCCTAATGTCTGCTCTTGCTTGAACTTGCCTTAACCTGAGCTTTGATATCTCTTCAGGTTGTTCTATTGCATGATTGAAGCATCCGCAAGAAAAGCTCCTTTTTTTGTTATTATTGGCAATCTGATACTGATTTTATGTGCCAATAGTTCACAAAAATTGTAAGTGCTGCACCATGCCTTGCCATTGCTCTTTTCAGTTGCATTATGCACTATGATTATTTTTACCTTTGAAACGATATTCTATTCTATACAGTAAGCCTTCTGAGTCCAGAAGATAATATCCTTAATTACCAGTGTAATATTGTTTGCTCTAGTGGCACTTGACTGGGATGATAGGGGAGATACAGTTTAGTCCCACTTGACATGTGGATATGTGATTAACATTATATGCAGAATCTTTAGATATTGCAAGTACAAATACGTAAATTTGTTAGATTGTGAAAATTAGAATTATGTGCTATCAGCCATAAGGAAAGTCTAGTTGTTTGATTCAGAAAGATGATTTACCTTTTTAAGTGTAAATTTAGGTCTGCTTCTCTGAATTTCAATTTTCTTGTTATGCAGTTGATAAGTTTATGTTTCTGTTTCATGTTTAAGCTTTGCATTAAGCAGGCACATGGTGTTGCAGAATACATTGGTTTGTATGATTTGGGGATATTGATTTCCTCTTCATTGTTAGCAATACTTTTTTATAATTCATTTTGAAGAATCATCAGTCATACTTATGTGTCACTTACTTTCTGACCTACATAGTTCCCAATGTGTTTTGGATTACTTATTATATGTATAGGTGTAGGTGGTTGTGTTCTGAATTGGATTTAATTGGGCACGAAATATGTATTTAGAGTTTATAGCAAAAAACACCAGGCTCAATTGTTGATATTTTTATTGCTTAAACTTTACAAGGGCAATCATTATGTCTAATCCTTAACAGTAATCATAAGCTTCTTGATAGATAATCTCGTACCATACATGCATTATAGAGTTGAATGGAACAAATGCGGTTGAGGAACTACAAGACCCAACTCGTGGAAAGTCTGACCATTCTAGGCAGAAGTTGTAACAGTTGCTTCTTGTCACAAAATGACAAATCCCCGTTTACTGAACAATTTTTTGCTAATGCAGCTGCAATCTGGCACAGAGATTAAGTTTTTAGTGTCTTGTGAAATTGAAAACAAAAAATATTGACTTGATTTATTATCAGTTTGAGGGAATACCCGAGTTTCATTACTTTGGCTGATGGTTCACTGTATTGAGTCTGTGGCTGACTTAGCTGGAGACTGATTGGTGGACGTAATTCATATTCATTTCTGACCATGTAAGAAGGACTGGATGCCACATTTTCTTCACCTGTACTCCTGCTTCCGAAAACCTAAAAGCCAAATCTTCTGTTTAGGTTTATCTAATAAAGGAAACTTTAAGCCTTTAGCTTAGATAATTAGAACTAAGCTCAATAAATGAGGAAAATATGTTTGACATGGCCCTATCCACATGAAGTGTCAGTTTATGTACTGACTTGTTCATTGTACAAGCCTTTGTTAGTCTTAGGCATGCGTTTATGTAAAGATGAAATAATAGTTTTTTGAATTATAGTGTGCTGGATCATTTACCTTCTTCTGTAGCTCTGCATTTTCCTTTTGAATCTGGTCCATTTTTTGATAGAGTTCAACATTGTCCTGATGAATGAGATTTCCCTACAATGGCATTAATGACAATTGGTCAGAATTTTTAGGAAAACCTTAGTAAATATCGGGAAGAATGAAACGAGACTCCTAAAAAACCTTTTGGCGCAGTTCTTTAATCTCACTTGTTAAAATTTGATCCTGGAGGGAAATAGATGATAATGCAAGTTATAAATTTTCCATAAAAGGATGAAATCTTAAAGGGAAGAGGTTTAATTTGAACTGAACCATCATACCTTTTTCATGCGAACACCCTTTAGACTCATCTCCAGTTGGTTTTCCAGATTTTGTAGTTCTTTGATACCCAAACCCGTAAGTTCTTCACCCATTAATTGCCTGCTATTGCCAAAAGAAACAAAAATTGAAATGCTTTCTCAATGTTAGATTGGTTTATCACTTAGCAGAAAAAATATCGTGAGTTTCTGAAATTAGTTTTTTAGCATTTATGTAATTTGTGTAAGAAACTAAGCTGTCCATTAGCACTTTATAAAAATATCAATAAGTTTTTCAAGATGGTATCACGTTGTTAACTGATATAAAACTCTACAGAGTCTGTAGAACAAATTTGTTTGATTTACCATACGATTGTTTCCGGTGATGAGCTATTGAATCAACCTTTTTGGGTCTTGTAACATCTTCATTTCATACAGACCAGGGGTGCCGTAAGCGTTTGACATGGACAGATTGACATACTAACAAATGACAAATATGTAAATTACTTTTTAATATATTTAAGTTCATTCTCTGGAAATGGTTGGAGAGAGAAAAAGAAGTAAAGGTGGATTCAATTTTCTTTTTTGGATCTTGTAATGGAGATTAAGAAAGGCGGATGATAAAATTTGCCATTTTCCTTTTCCCTATTTTATGCCCTTAGTTTTTTTTTCCTTCCCGAAAGACGCGTTGTAGAATTTGGATTTGTAAAGTGATGTAACGCGTTGAAGAATTGAAGAAAGGTGCCTTTGTAAATTTAACCCACTAGTTTAAATCAATCGTTGATAGATATTCATTACTTGGTCACTTCACATATCTCTTTACTGGAGTCAACTCTGATGAAATAACCTGTTCGATTGCATATCTATGGATTGCTTATATAGTGCATTTATGCAACTAATGGGTGTTAGTTTATTTATATTTTTACCTGTGGCATTCTTGCAAATACTGAAGCTGTTTCCTCAAGTTTGCTGCTTCTGTCTGCCAAAACTAGCAAGAAGAGAAATACAGATATCAATTAAACAGTTATTACTTAAGGAGATTATTTTAAATCTAAGAATTGCCGGCTAGACAATTTGAGGACTAACATTGTTAATTTAGAGTTGAAAACCAATGTGAGAATGCTTTTTAAGTCTAAAATTATTGCTGATATGGTCCTGTACATTATTATTCTGCTGCATGTAGTGTTGTTTGTTCTAACCTTGTATTTGATAATCTCCCTAAGTATATTGTTTCACTAATAGTAGACTTCAGTTAGGTTATTAAGTTACATTTTCATGTTCAAGGAAGATGAGCTTTGTGAAGTTAGTTTGTACCTGTCAGTTATCTTATGTTGGTTTGTATTTTTCTTGGATAATTTTAGTTTCTTAAATTTTCTGCCAATTTCTCATATTGCCTATAATATCTGTTATTGTCCTCTTTACATCATCATTCCTTTGTTCGTCATAATAAGTTGGTGAACTAGGGTTCGCCAGTAACGATTCATTCCTTTGTTCGCAATTATGATCCAGTCTAGCAATTGGTATCAAAGCTGCATTTCGAACTTATGGGTATTGCAAACAAATAAAGATTTTAAGCCTTTATGGTTTGTATGAGAAATGGGCACAAGATTGAAATCGGTGGATAGATGTTTTGAGGAAGAATGCATATCGGGGAAAGATAGGAAGGAGCGACAGATCCACTGCAAGGTGCAAGAGGTCCGACTCAAGGAAGTTGAGGAAATGGTTGAATGATTGATATTCTTGTTGTTCAAATTGTAGCGAGCGGGCATCGAACTACGCAGAATGTCACATCTCAGAATGAGGAGTCCACGACAATTGTTTAGGGATCAATAGAGAAAACTTCAACTTTAGATTCCCATTTCGTAATGTTGGGAGAAGACGCATTCAGGTGGACCAGTGGGCTGGGAGTTGGAACGGTAATTTTGCATCAAAGAAGCAACAAGTGAAAGCAAGCTCTATGGTTGCGCTAGAGGGTTGAGCTTTGGGTTGGTTTCATGGTGGGGTAATTACAACCCACATACTTTTTGGGAGCAATTCAAGGCAACGCTATAAAGAGATTCTAACCCTTGATAAAAAATCCCTTTTGAAATCTGATAGGCAGGCACCCAGATTTTATTTAAACTGTAAAGACTTCCAAGACAGGTTCTTGGATGTTCACCAAGAAAAACCAGACAGCTTTATTAACAATGAAACAAACACAATAATCCAAACTGTTACACTATCCTTGGTCTTTCGAGAGGATCAGACTCTCCCTAGCCTTCCCTTTACAAACTTCCTAAAAAATTGCTAAAAACAACTGTCTACAAAGTATGAGACAACAAAACCTATCCATAGACAGTTGTCCCTTTTATTTTTCCTAATATAAACATTTCCTTTGAATCTATCAAAATCTTTCTATATCTGCTGCAAATAGAGGTGGTTGTAGATATGGTTGAAAATTTTCTCAGATATCCAGAGCTTTTGTAGGGAAATTGAGCAACATTTTATGTGTATTTTCTTGAACTGATTAAAAGAGGAGGTGCAAACAGAGGTGAGACTTTGTGATCTGTGGTCTCTCAAATTGATAGAGAAGGCAGTGATTACAACCCGCATACTTCTTGGGAGCAATTCAAGGCAACGCTATAAAGAGATTCTAACCCTTCTTGATAAAAAAATCCCTTTTGAAATCTCATAGGTACCCAGATTTTATTAAAACTGTAAAGACTTCCAAGACAGGTTCTTGGATGTTCACCCAGAAAAACCAGACAGCTTTATTAATAATGAAATAAGCACAGTAATCCAAACTGTTACACTATCCCTGGTCTTTCGAGAGGATCAGACTCTCCCTAGCCTTCCCTTTACAAAACTTCCTAAAAAACTGCTAAAAACAATTGTCTACACAGACTTTATAAAAGTATGAGACAACAAAACCTACCATAGACAATTGTCCCTTTTATTTCTCCTAATATAAACATTTCCTTTGAACCTATCAAAATCTTTCTATATCTGTTACAAATAGAGGTGGTTGTAGATATGGTTGAAAATTTTCTAAGATATCCAGAGCTTTTATAGGGAAATTGAGCAACATTTTATGTGTATTTTCTTGAACTGATTAAAAGAGGAGGTGCAAACAGAAGTGGGACTTTGTGATGTGTGGTCTCTCAAATTGATAGAGAAGGCAGTGATGGTAGACAAGAATCAAGTATTGGCAAAAGAGGTTGACATGAAAAGTGAAGTGACGTACTCTAAAAGTGGGGTGAAATTGTGAGATCAAGTACTGTACTTAATAGAATTCTCAAGCAATGGAAGACCTGAAAGGTAGATTGGGAAGATTCCAGCCTTTGTTAGAGAAAGGGATGGAGGAAAGGATTGGATCAAGAAAATGAGGTCTAAGGGGAATGACATTCCTAGTGAAAGGCTCAAGGGACCGAATGTTCCATTGTTAGTCCTAGGGATCGAATGTTCTATTATTGGTCCCATGGTGAGTGTCACTGTTCCAATCCCTAGTTCATCGAGTGATATTTTAGGATCAATCACCATACATCCGAGTTATTTTTGCTTTTTTGTGCTCAGACATTGTAATGCCAGACTTCTTTTTTACTCGGACGTTGAAATGTTGCGCTTCTCTTGCCGTTGAGATGCTCTTGTATGATACTGGGATGTTGAGATGCTCTTGTACTTGACACTAGAATGTTGGGTTGTTCTTGCTCGTGTATTCTGGTGTTGGAACACTGATCTGCTTTTATACTCAGTCACCTAAATGACGAGGTGATCATGTACTCAGAGAGTTGCTCTTGCACTTTAGTCGATTAAGATTGTGTACCCGTCAATTGGTAATGGTGATAGTGATAACTCTTGGCTGGTATTTCTCACGGTTATGAACATGGTTGTCACAACTCCATATGGTAGTGTGGAGTTGTGCACAACTTCATTGTTTTGGTTATGCTCATGGTGACAGTCCCGATCAGAAGGGTGTATTCCTACAGTCAATGACTTGATGCTCTACTCTTGTAGGTTATGGGACCTGGCCACCCTTTCATGTTGGTGAGGTGGAGTGTGATCTCTCTTCGTCGTTCGTGACTCGTGGTCTACTTTGTTGATTCGGACATTTTAGAGATTAAGATTATTGTTTTTTGGAGTAGATGTGTGAGACTCTCCTATTTGGATAGAGTTCGACACTTTTAGGGTTGTTACTCTAGAAATAATAGAAATGAAATGAGTCGAGCTTTTATCGTCGAGCTTCATGTGGGTGAGCCTTGTTGTCGAGCTTGCCGAGTTATATTACTGAGCTTATTTGTCGAGCTTATGCGTTCCTTTTTGTTATGTAGGCACTATGTTGTATATATCAATAATGTTCATTTGTTGTCTTGCAAGTCATTGTCCATGAATGCAAAGTCTTCATATGAAGCGTTGGATTTATCCTTCAACATGTCAACGAAGCCATGTGTTTCTAAGAGTTATTATTTGTAGATATTTATTATTTCTTGATTTTGTCAAGCTTCTAACTCTTTGTATTGTTGTGTCAATCTCTATTTTGTCGTACTTTCTCTTGTGTCGGCTCTTTCCCGAACTTTAAGATCTATATCAGTTCAGAGATTTTCTTCGTTGTGTTTTTCATCTAAATGTTGTCTAGTAACGCATGGGCCCTTTTTCTTGCATGGAAGGGTGAGGATGAGACTTGCCCACTCTCTTCGGATGCTCAACTGACGACACTCAATGCTTTATGCCGAGTTGGCTCACTCTTATCTAGGTTAGGCTCTATATTTTTTCGGGTTATCATGAAACTTGGGAATTTGTCACCATTTACATTGAAAAAACATTTTTCTGGATCTAAAAGGTAATGTACCTCGTCGAAAAGAATATACAAGATGTTTTAGTTATCATTTGAAGTGAGAGATATTCTTTGAAAGTGTTCATTTCTAAACCATTTTGATATTATTAAGATTTTGTTATTTCTTGTTATGATTTTTAAGGCTTATCAAACTTTATTTTTTTGTGTTTTTTTTTTTGGTTTAATTGCAGTTCTACATCTCAGAATTTGTATCTTAATTTTTCAGATGTTAAGATCAACCATTAATAATATCATTTTTTAAATATCATTTCTTTTCATATTTATTCATATTTTTTGTATAATTTTATTTATATTATAATATTTGTCAAAATTTTAGTTAGATACAAAATTCATTAAGATTAAGAATGATGCTTCTAAAAAAATGTAACACAATGACCAAAGCTGAAACCAAAATGGAAAGAAGAATGTTGTAGAAACAGTTACCTTTTCTTCTGAAGCCGGATTCATGAGGTGATGATGTTCCTCTTTTAGCTTGTTGTAGCGCTCAAAAACAGATTTCATGCTGCCAGAGACAATACAAAGAGTATATTAGTATTTTTCTTTGTACGTAAAAGTTGTGGATCAACACGTTGCAAAATTTAAGTTATTGTAAGAAGCGTCCATTATATAATCTGAGACAAACTAAGCGCAGTTTTTAAACTTCATTATGATTTTAGTTTAGTCATTCAAAGAAATGTTGGATTGTTTTAAACGGGAGTTAAGGATGATATCTATATAATGCCTACTTTTTAAATTGTGACTTTAATGAGTTATCATAGAAACTTGTGACTTTAATGTTATTTTCATGGTGGAGAGGATAAATTGTTCTTGAAGACTTTAAGGATATGAAAATATCCTATTTGAGCAATTCAACTACAAGTTACTCGAAGTAAAAAATGAGTCTACAAGAATGTCGTATCTAGTAAAATTTATATTCAATTTATGTATGACTCCTTTTTTTCTATTTGTAGGCAAATTTTGTGAATATATTAGAAAAACAATTCAAATTTTAAAATAATGTGTTTTAAAATATGGTTTTATTAAATAAAATATTGTTTTAAAAGTCAATTTCCAGTTAAAGTTGCATTTTCCATTTTGTAAAGAAACAATAGTTGTTTTTCAAAACACTACTTTAATACCATTTTAAAACCTAAATTATAAACAAAATCTTTTTTAAAATACAACTTACATCCTTTAAAACTTTTCCTTTTTTAAAATTATACCCAATGGTTAAAAAAGCCTCAACTTATCAAAGGCTTTAGAGATTTCTAATTATTCATGGCCTTTATTTCCTTTTTGTTCGTTTCTTCTAGGAAAATAAAACAATTATTGCTTTTGATGTATTTTGTCTTGTTTGGATATTCTTGTACAGGGAATTTAGATTTAATGTACTGTAAATCTCTCTCTCTCTCTCTCTCTCTCTCTCTCTCTCTCTCTCTCTATATATATATATATATATATATATATTTAAGCTATGTATTGATAGTTGTATTAACAACAATAGTTGAACACCTATCCTATACTTTTGAATCTTAATTATCTAAAAAAAAAAATATATTGGAGTCTTATAAGCAATTATTTAGAAATTTAAATAAAATAGGCATTCTGATGTGTTTTATAATTGTTTCAGTCTCCATAGAAAAAAAAAATATATAAACAAAAATAAATTCTCACAAATTCAACTAAGCTATGCTTAAGGCCCTCTTATGTGAGCAAAAAGTGGTTAGCTACATTTTTAACTGTTCATGCTTAATCTAGGCTTTTATTGTGTTTAAGCAGAAGACATTAACCAAAAAGGAGTCTTACTCCCTTCACCACCTCATCTTCTCCCTCCATCTTCCCAATTTTTTCTAAATTTCAATCTTACCCTTATTATTTTTACCTTACCTATTTTACTTTTTATTTTTTAAAACCCTAATCCCCTTTCACTTTCACTCTTTCTCTCAAAGGCAAGCCCCACCCCTCACCCCCACTTTCACTTTCTCTCTTTCTTTTCAACTTCTACATTCCTTAACACTTAATCTAATTAATTCCTACCATCCTCTTCGCCAACAGTGTCACGAGTCTCTTTCACTTTCTTTACGTCACCACCATATATCACATCCTGTGACTTTGAATATCAGAACTAGTTTATTGAACCTACACCACATTGAGAAATCCTCACATTCACATATGTTGATGAGGTACCATATGAAATTTGTTGTTCAAACTGTCAACTTCTTTCTATTACTTTTTAAAAAATATGACAAAAATGATCAAACCATATACAATATAACGTAACTAAGCTTTCGAGAATAAAAAATGAAGAAAAGGTGAAAATGGAGAATTGTGTTAACGGATGTGGAAATTGAAAAGAAAGAGAGAAAGTGAAAGTAGGGGTGGGGGCTTGCCTCTAAGAGAAAAGGTGAAAGTGAAAGGAGATTAGGATTTTAAAAAATAAAAAGTAAAATAAATAAAGCTAAAAGTAAAAATGATAAAATTAGAATTTAGAAAAAGTTGGGGAGGTGAAAGGAGAAGACAGGGTGGTGGAGGGAGTAACCCTCACCAAAAAGACCAATCACTATATTTTTTTTTATTTGGACCAAATACAACTTTTACTGTGAGTAACTCAGAAAATCAATATTGGCTTAACTTAATGTATTGAGAAAGATTTAGAAATCCCATGGTTGGAAAACGCCTTTAAAAATTTCATCAACAATCAACCTTCAAAAGAATTTGCTTGCTGTAACAGTGATGAGTAACAAAATTTTATATTGTTAGGATAGGGTATAATAATTTTAAGGAAAATGACACTTGAACAACCATTTTTGACAACATTTAGACACGCGCACACGTGTCAAAATCTGAGTGGTCCAGTTGGAAAAATTAAATGAAAATGGACGACTCAGATTTTGACACGTGTGCGCATGTCTAAATGTTGTCAAAAATGGTTGTTCAAGTATCATTTTCCTAATTTTAATTTTGAGTTTTTGTTTAGCTTTATTATTATTTTTTATGTTTAATATTTGTGTTACCTTTTTACTAGTTTAATTAAGATTCAATTTATATTAAAAATGTTTTAAAATTAAAACTTCTTAACAGCACTTAATTGAAGCCAATAATAGAAAGAAGTCATTTCTAACTACATCTCTTTAAATATTTTATTCATAATGCATATATTCAACTCTATTCCTCGTTGCAAGAAATATAAGGATTTTAGACCAATACAATTCAAATTTCAATTTTTTCAATTGCAAATTCAAATTAAAAAAAAAAACTATCAAAGAGGGTATATCTTCAAGACAACACACAATTCCCATAATTCTAATAATCACAAAAATGTTCAAAAGTTAGAAAATGAAACACTTCGTCTTCACAAGACAAAGAACCACATATCAAAGTTGACGTGGTGAGAAGGGAACAAAAAAAAGCATTGAAATAAGTTTTGTTGTCTTAACCTCTTTTAAGGAAAAGATCTCAAAATGATACAAGAAAAATGTCATAAACATCTAACCCACCAACTTTGAATTGTTTATAAGGAGATGAAAAAATAACATTTTTTAAATGTTGATGAAATATATATGTGGAGGATTAAAACCTTTGAAAGCAAAAACAAAAAAAGGATAATTTCCATCAAAATCATTCGGATTATGAGGTGGATAGGCCACATCTATGTTCATTTACAATCCTTGTAGTAAATGCAATATCAATAGTTTATTTCTACCTTTTTGGAGTAGGAGATAAAATTAAGAGCGTGACATTGTGTTTTCTATAAATACAGGACTAGATGACATCACTTTTATTTTATGCAAGACTTTTAAGAGACAGAAAAGTGATTTCATTAAGTTTTTGAAGAATTTCATTTTAATATGATGAGAAGAGAATCTCATTAAATTAGAAAATCAAACAAATTCATTTCGTCCTTACAAAAGATAATACTAAAAAGATAAGGAAGATTGCCCTTTATCCTTAATAGAGTCTTTGAAAAAGTATTATCCAAAATTTTGCAAAAATCTATATTTACGCACTAATTTGGAAGAATCAAGCAACTTCCATAAAGGGAAAATGAATTCTAGATGGGTATCATTGCAAAGCCAAGGGTATATTGGTTCATGTACTTAAGAGGTTAATTTGAGATTGTATATTTATGATTTAGTATTTTGAAATAATTTTATTAATAAGACAAATTTTGTTATTTGTGAGGAACTTTTGACAAGCATTAAGCCTACAAGTAGTAAAACGAATTAATTGAAGTATGAAATTCTAAAAGACTAATGTAATATATTCAAACAAAGAACAATTGCATATTAATTTCTAGAAACAAAATAAATTATCAAAAAAAGGAATAAAACTTGTTTGTAAATTTATCAAATAATTAGTGTGTAAAATGTACTTGTGTAAACTACGAATGAGAAGTCAGAATAAACTTAATCATCTCACATGATTCAATTAGATTTATATTTATACCACGCTACCAACTCACTGAATTATCTAAAGAAAAAACAAATACAAGAGTTAAAGTCTAGCTACACACAACCTCACCAATGAATAATTATAACAGTGAATTATTATTCTTCTCGCATAATCTTATTTTTGTTAAGTCTTTCTTTCTTACCTTACATATAACAAATTACATATTAATTATTAATTTAACTTTTTATCACTTTTCACTTTTCATTTTTATTTTAAAAACTACAAAGAGTCACGTAGTGACTCTTTTTCCCTAATATATATATATAAGAAAGAATTTATCTCACTTATTTTTATGTGTGAGTTATTTACTATAAGGATTTTGTCAAGTTTACAAGTAATAAAATAAATTTAGTTGAAGTATATATTGAATCGGGAAGAACTACCGCAATAATAACATAAAAAAGGAATTGCATATTAATTTATATTTGGAGAAAATAGTTGGATGCAGTTTCAATTAAAATAAAGTAAATGCTTAAAGATCAAGAGATAAAATAGTTAATAAAATATAAAAGGATAAAACTTTGTGTTGTTCAACATTGACATGTTGAGCTGGGATTTGGATATTATAGATAAAATTAAAATGTTCCAATCACATATTGTACAAAAAAATTAAGAATTGATTTATATTTAAATTATACCATTAACACACTTAATTATTCAAATATTAACTCATTAGAGAATTAGACCTAAATATCTCAATTGTAATTTTAATTCCTTGACAACTCAGTCAAATTAGAGATCATAATGGTAATTAAATGTTTACTTCTTAAAGAATTTGGGGATAAATTGAATTAGAGAAAAAGCATATCCATTGAAGGATATTAGGTAGTGGCAAGATTACATCAGTTGAGAATTGATAGGATTATAATACCTATACCAGAATTTGTTCATTGAATTTTTCTCAACCAATTATTTGTGTTTATTTCTCTTAATTAAAAAAAAACAAAAATTGTTTCTTCTTTTCTTGATCAAGTGCCATTAACTTAACTGGTAGTGTATTGTATTAAACCACAATCTTCATCAAAATGATACTATATTTTACTCTTTATTGTTGATACAACTATATATTTGTGAATGTCATATAATAAGGTTATTCAATAATTAGGTTAGGTTAGATTAACTTAAATTTCACATTTTAAGTAAAACTAAAATTAATATAATTAAATAGATAAAAAATTTACTTTACGAAACAGTTTTATAGAATTAAGATAGATTTAAACTCTACTTCTCAACAAATATTTTAAAATTTTATACCACTATCTTACTGTTACTTCTTAGTTTTTATTCAATAATTTAATTTATATTTTAATTAAATAAATTCATTTAATATTTTGTTAATATTTAGAGTTTTAAACCGTTGTAACATGACAATTGATTACGAAGGTAGGTTTTTCCAATGAGAGCTCCCACACATTCTTTTGTCTCTTCACAATGAGCAAGACAAACAACATGGTTTTTTCTTCTCCTCTCTATCACTGTTGTTGCCAACATATACCAATTAGGTTTACTACAAATTATACCTTAATTATTCAACTCACCAGTTAAACCATGTTAGGTTAGCTTTAACCTCTTTTCCCTAATCTCCCACCATCTTAAACTTAATGGTTTCAAGCATTGTCTTCTTCTAGATCAAATCCTTTCTACTTTTGGATTCATCCCATCAAACACAGGGATTCTGCATTAATTTACAATTTACCAACAACATTTGAAGGGAAATCCTCCACACTAAAATGTTAATGTGGTCAAGAAGAACTTCCTCAATGTCCTAACAGACACCATTTTGGACTATATTGTTTTACTATAATGTAGTGGTTCACATCAATAACACCTTGTTCAAGCTAGGGTTTCAATTCACTAAACTTAACTGGTTTAGCATATTTTTTACTCATTCATCCATGCCTCTTATGATAGATATAACAGGAAAACATAGCCTAATGGTTAAAGAAACATTATAACAACATGTCATTCGCGTTATAATTCATTGCCAAATTGTTTTTGTTTCTGTTTCCTCACTCTTTTTGTTGTGTCTTTCCCTTCATAGTTTTTATTTAAACATGGCATGCTGAACAATCGTCGCATTCATGCGTGGAAGAACATCTTTTTCAATATTTTATCATAAAAGCAAATGCAAAGAAAGATTATGAATAAGAGATGATTTTATGAATAACAGTTTCTATAGTTTTCTTTCCTTAAGAAATATACTTATAAATGCATATCAGGATAAGAGTGATGGACATTAACATCGTACCATGCAGAAGCGCATGCAGAGTATTTCTTATTATATCAACCCAAGCCATATCACACGAGGGAGGGCAAACATTAAAGAACTCACAGATTTATTTCCAAATGCAAGTGGCAGATATATAAAACGTTTCGTACAGCACAACATGACACCAACCACAAAGTGAACCTTAATTATTTTATATATTCACTTTCTGTATGGAAGAGGTTTTATATTAGTTAAAAAAATGTTGCACCCAGAATTATAGATCAATTTCCATGATTTAAAGCGAAAGGGCTAAGATATTTTGTTTAAAAATAAACTGATCTTGATTAATTACCTTGTGCTTGCATAGTCATAAAGCTTTCCAGTGCTGGAAAACACCATCAATCCAACTTCAGCATCACAAAGAATTGATAATTCTCTAGCTTTCTTCAGCAATCCATTTCTTCTCTTTGAGAAAGTCACTTGTCGGCTAGTCGAGTTGTCGATCCTTCGAATCGCAATCTTCCCTCTCCCCATCTTTACTTAAAATAATCACAAATATCACACCTTTAACCTGTTAGATCAGTAAACAAACTTCTCTAAGATCGTCAAGAACAAGACTTATAGAACAATAATACCAGTAATCGGAGTAAGTGTTTAGAAAATGAGAAGAAATTGGCTTAAAAAACGATCAAGAAATCAAGAAATCAAGAAATAGAAAAAGTATAGAAAGGAACGATTTTCTCTTGTTTTTGCGAAAATCGAAAACCCCCATGAACAGTGAAAAGTCAAAGAAGGATGAAAGTAACTTACTTGAAAATTATGGGAGTGGGTTGTAATGAGAGAGAAGCAGAGGAGAGAAGGAGAAGAAGGACAAGATTTCCGTAGATGAATGTTCCTAATCTAGGAGAGTTACATGATGCAATACTATTATATATGCTTTATATGGAAAGCCAGAGTGGTTTTGTTTGGACAAAGGTCCCAACCACTATCCCTTTCTGGTTTTCTTTCAGAAGCGGTTTTCTGAGTACTTTAGTGGTTTTCATGTGAGGCATACGAGGTTTACCCGCTGGAGTACAAACACACACTTACTCGCCCGCTGCGTTTTGAGTTGGCATGATCTGCACTGCGTTAGAGGATCAGCGAGAGTATTTAGATAGCAATGGGCACGTGTCGGAAGGAGAGAGCGAGTGGAGAATGCGCTAGAGAAGTGCGATTGGGTGAGTTTTAAACCTAGTACTATATGAGCGTCCAGGAATCGTGGGGACCCTGTAATGTTCAACTGTGTGACGTATGGGGAAGCGACACGTGTGCTTTCCAAAACCGAGGGCGCTTACTTTTCCTGCTTTTAGGTTTGGCGAAAAGCGTGAAAATGGCTCTTCAATCTGTCTGCTTTCCATTATTCACAATTGTATCCGTTGCAAGTAACATCCCCAGGTAAATATGTTTCTATTCAACAAAATAATAATAATTAATAATAATAATATTCAACCTTTTTTTTTAATTTTTGGTGGAAAATAAGAAAATGTTATATACGCGATGCCCTTCGTATTTTGTCTGTTTTTCCAAAATGGAAATAATTATTTATTATTGCATATTTTAGAAGCAAGTCGAGGGGAGATGTATTATAATAATTTGATTAAAGTGGAACCGCATATGTGATTGATTGATAGGAGCATAAAACAAGCTTTTCATAGATTCAAAACTTTAGATTAATTAATGTGGTTAAATAATTATTGGTGACAACGGAAAACATATGATCTCCTGAACTCGTTTTATATTAAAATAATATAATTATAAAAAAGAATAATTTTAGAAGGATTGTGAGAAAAAAATAAAAGAAAAAATATTGTGAGATAATTGCGTTTATTTTTAATTACTTTATTATTTGTCATGGTTAATTTTGTGTAGGGAGATTATATTTTACTTTTGAAAATGCTAACATAGTAACAATTTGAAAATGGAGATTACGCGTGATCCTCCAATTGCATGAAACCCAACCATTGTACATGTGATTCGCTGTCAAAAGTTTCTAAAATTACAATTTCACTACTCCTACTTCTACAAAATCACTTTTTTATTATTTCAAATATTATATATAAATATATAAAGGAAGACATAGATGTAATTTATTTCATTAACGTCATTCTTCTAACAATATTTAAATATATTTTTATCCTAACATTTCAACCTGTCGAATGGTATCAAAAGTTGTTCATTTGAGTTTAATAAATTTGTCACACGATTAGGTTTGCTCTAACTTAATACCAATCTTAGAAAAGAGATTAAGTTGGAAGGTATGTTTCCAAATCAAATAATTATATCTGTAACAATATATGTTTAAATATCTAACAATTATGTTTATAATAATATATGTTTAAATTTAATAATTGTATGCAGAAGTTCAATCTGTATCATATGACAGATATGTTTAACAATATATATTTTGAAAGTTTACTACTTTGGATGAAACAAAAAACTTCATTTTATCTTTTTAAAAAAGTATAAAAATTTTCTTCAGTGGAATGATGATTAATATATTTTTACTTGTTACTATTATTATTATAATTATTATTATCATTATCACTATTATTATTATTAAATCATAAATATTATGTTATTTATAGAATATTGAAATATAAGACACTATTATTACTATTATAAAATCATAAATATTATGTTATTAATAGAATATTGAAATATAAGAAGTGAATGTTAAAATATATTTGATAATAAGTTTATAAACATTAATAACTCTTTTAAAATATATTATTTTGTAATCAATAAAAAGATAGATATGTTCATTTTTGTTTTAAATTTAGTTTAATCTCGTCTATGAACTCTGATTTATAACTTTTTATTATTTAATTACTATTTAAAATGCTCATTTCAGCGTTCAAAAATTTGAGATTTAAATTATATTCATACGTTTTTGTATTAGAGTTAGAAAGTTTAATTATTGTTATCATGTATGTATGATTATCCAGTTTTCTTATATGATTTTTCATTCAGGAAAAGATTTTAAAAATATGATTATTTTTTTTAAGAAGCACTTTTTTACATCAATTTTAGTTAACAACTGATGTCTGAAATGGTGTTATGCTGTGAAGTACGAGTGTTTAAGAAAAAAAAAACACACTTGAATAGTATATAAGAAATGAAAACTCAAAAATTTATAATCTTAAAATTTTGTATTATATATGATATTAACTTTTGAACATATGAATTAGGAAAATAATTTAATAAGAAAAAACTAAAAAACAATATTAATTTCTATATTTAAAGGACCAAGCATAATATCCTTGAGTTTTTAGCTGTGAACTCTACAAAGAAAATATCAATCCCATGAATATTAAATTTTGTAACCACAAGCCGTTGAATATTCATCACGTATAACAAGTCAACTTGGCTAGTTGTTTGGTTAAAATAAACTCCCATATTTTCATAAGCATGTTTTTAACAAATATTTTAGATGTCAAAATCTGTATATAAATATGCATACAAATTTTTTTAAATATCAAATATATAAAAATTAAATTAGATATTAATTTATATACGTAAAAAAAAATAGGAGATCAAGATCTCCTCGTATACTTAAGCTCTTACATATTTTTATGAAATTCAATATTTCGATTGAAAATTTATGTGGGTCTAAATGTTAAGTAAGTAAAAATGTGAAAGTTTAATATTATATAAAAATAAAAATACATAAATTCATTGTACTAAAATTTTGGACTGAAAATAATATTAATTTTTTATGTAGTTTATACTTAACTTTTATTATTGTAGAGTTTTCATAAATAAAATAAATTTACAGTATATAAAAGCATGTAAATGTTACTTTGAAAATATGATTTGTAAGAATACAGTATACTTAAAATCCATTTTTTAATATAATATCAAAACTTCAGTCATAAATATCTAACATCAGTCTTATAAATTTACACACTTTTAAAATTTGTTGATTACATTATGATGTGAAGCATCATACCATTCATTTATAGTGAAATAAGTCTAACATCCTATATTTTATGCATAGTAGAATTAATTTAGAGAATAGGTGCACCTCTACCACATTATATATATATATATATATATATGTCGAAAGAGGAGTATATTAGCATAAGAAAGTGAGCAATACCATCTTTAATTATATAGTGCTTTATTAAAGGGCACTAAACCCAAACATTAATCCCTTTTAATATTGGTATTGAATAGGACAGTTTTGGAACTTATTGCAGTGATTGGGCAAAGACCACGTGATAGAGATTTTGTGCCCAATCAAGATATCTTGTTTCCTTAAACAATGAATGGACTCATTAATTGTTGTGTCTGTTCACACTCTTCCTTAATCTCTATTTAAGGAATGCCATTAAACTAATCCGTCCCTTAACCTCTCCAACTAAGGTTATAGCCAGGTGTCAATCATCAACAAATCATACCCATTATTAGTCAAACCGACTCAAACTCATGCCCCATTTAATTAACATATCTATTCATTCTAATAATCAAACTGTCCCTTTAAAATATACCCACTCTGAACTTTTTATTAATTAATTATTTGTCTCAGACAGACCCATAAACTAATACCAATTTCCCATTCCTTCTGCACTCACAAATACATCAACACACATCCATCAAACCTATAAGACAACTTATTTCTTGGAACAATAAATATTAATGCCACTGTTCATTTTATGTTTATGTTTATGATGAGTATTTGAGAGAGAATTTATATGGAAAATTTAACACTATGCAAATATTAGTTCAATTATACAATAAATTAATTAAAAACTTTAATATATTAATTTTTATATGAAAGACATTATCCGCTTTAAAGCTGGAATTTTGTTATGTTTTTTTTTAAAAAAAAAACATTTTTTTAATGATGAAAAGAAAAAAATATGTAAATTATCTTAAACCGAGTAAATTATTGAATATGATAAAACTGTTTATTTTATTTAATATAAAACATGATAAAAAACCACGATAAAAAACACTTATTTTTATTTAATATAAAATTTAAATTTATACTTAATATTCTATAACTATTACAGTACGAGGATACCTACAGAAAGAGATTCATGAATCAGATAGTGTGCATCATCAACAGGCTGTAAAGTTATGTGGATTTTCATTTGTTTTTGGCTTTCACTCAACTTTATATTTTAAAATAGGTTAAATATTATTTTAAAATTCATCTTACAGTTTATGAATTAAAAACATATTTACTTCTCATCTTTTCTATCTTTCCTTTCAAATCTTTTACACCAATCTTATAGATCTCGAAATGAGGAAGTTGAACCTAAAATGTTTTATTTTTTACCATTAAGTCAACAAATTTTTCTTTTTCAGTGCATCATTGGATACTTCTGCAATATGTAATCGTAAGATTCATTGAGATAACATAAAATAATATAATTATTTCAATTTAGATCGACTCATCGTAAACTTTTTTTAATCAATATTTCCTACTACATCATCAAGATATTCAAACATTAATAATTACTCTACGCCATATTTAGATATTATTTAACCAATAGATTTGAATTCAGATAAGTTAAATATTTGAATGTCTACCAAAACTGAACATTAATACATTAAAAATTTAAGTGTGAATCTAAATTTTATATTGGATAAAAATAAAAAAGTAAAGCATTGTAAAAATAAAAATCCCATTAATCTATTATTTTAAGGTTTTGAGTAGAAAATGGTGTCAATTTTTATATAATTAAACTCAGATCTTATTAGAGTTTGTATCTTTTCTGTAAGACTCTTCTTAATATATCCAACTTAGATCTCATTGAGTTTTATTTATTTTCATTAATCAAATATTTATAGTTAAAATTATTATGGAATATAGAAATGAAACCTGAATCTTTAAAGTCCACAAAAAAAATGTTGTTTAAAACTATACTGGTGTTTCGTGTTCAGATAACACAAAGAATGGTAAATGAAAAAAAAAAGTAAAAGAGAAGAATTTAATAATAATATTAATATTACTATATATATATATATATATATATATATATATATATATATATATAATTATTTATATACGTTTAAATCTCTTTATTTTTATCTCAAAAAATTTTAAATTAAACGATTCAAACTTTATTTTCAAATTTAATTTATAATTGAAAGTGAACAAAGCTTTAACTCTTTATATTTATAGGAAGGACTATTTTTTTAAACATGGTTAAATAATAAATATTAAGAATTCTTTTAATAGAAAGCAATACAAAACGAAGGTGATTGTCTTTGTGTTTAAGTGGTTTCTCTGTAAAAAAATGATGCCTTTCACCTGCAATTTGTTGGTAGCGAGAGCATAAGCAGCGACTTATTCAAAGATTTCCCGAACCACGATGCTACCCAGCAAAGAGTCATACTTTTTCTTATGTTGTTGGTTAAGAACAATGTCATGAGTTTATGCCCAATTCATAGCTGTCGAAGGTAAACGTTTCAACTTTGGTATCATCACACCACTTTAAACGTTTCAACTTTCACAGATAACAACAAAATGAAAATTTCACATTAAAGTGATATTCTGAACTATACTTATATGTGAAATTTTTTTAGAAACTAAAATACAAAAAAAAAAGTTATATAAAAATACAATTGCATTTATAAATATACCTTGGTTCTTAATATCTAAAAATAATGCAAGAGATTTAAAATGAGACATTAAATATTCATTAATAAGTTTTTATATATAATCACATAAAATATTAACACTACTTTTTATTTTAAAATTTTAAAGTAATAAATTAATAGATTTTCAATCTTATATAACGTTTATTTTTTTAATTCTATTTAATATTCAAAATCTTAAAATAATAATGAATTAATAAATCTTTAATTTTATATAATATTTTATTTTTTCATTTTTTTATTTTTAATTTAATGTAAAACTTAGACACACTTAAAATTCTAATAAGTCCCGTATCATATCTAAAAAAAGAAATTATTATAAGTTTGCACATCATTAAATGAGAGTTTACATCAGTATTGACCCTGCCCAGATGAGTTTCTTTACCCTGAAATCTACTTAACAAATAAAACTTAATTGGGCATCTTGATTGCTCAGGGCTATGATTAATGACAGCTTTTAACTGTTCTTATTTTAACAATTGAGAGACAATTGTAAAACTCATGTTATATTTTTGAAATTGGACAAAACAAAAACATGTTAAACTTCTTAAATTCAATGTTTCATTGAAAAAGAAAAAAAGAAACAGCAAATGCAAGGTACACCATGGTGGCATCATAGGGAATGCTCAGATACGATAAAGAAAAAAAAAATTAAGTTTAAAGATAACGGTGAAAAGGCTTCACGCGAATATAAAGGTTGCATCATGAAAGCTAAAAGACGTAGTCACATCCAAGCATGACATTGGCATTGTGCAAGTTACTAAGTATTTCGATTGTTTCCAACGTTGGTTATCAAATTTTAAACCCGAATATTGTGTCGTCTCTTCCTACGAAGCACGTATGAATATCAGACAAATCATATAAAAAAAATATAAAAGAAATTACTGCATATATAATACATGAAAAGCCTTTGATTGATACCAAAAGTGACTGACTGGCACATGGGGAATGGAGGTTTTAGCACACTAACTCTTATCTTGTGCTATGCAATGGCAACCGTTTCATTCCTCCCTTCTACAAATACACTATCGTGTAGCTACCTCAAGTTCTGGGGAAATGATGCATGGCTGCAACTGCGAGGAGACGCAGAAGTTTCAGCTTCAGAAATCCAAGTCACATCTAACAGGGAAGGAAAGAACAACAGTTACAGTGCTGGACGTGTCACACCTGTTATAACGATGCATCTCTGGGATAAGAGTTCTGGGAAACTTGCAGACTTCACTACCCACTTTTCGTTCACTGTTTATTCAAATGAAATTCAGTTTGGAGATGGGTTTGCATTCTTTTTGGCGGATCCTGGGCTTCCCCTTTTGAATAACATCACGGAAGGTGGTGGTCTTGGCCTCGTGGATGGTGACAGAGTGTTGAACTCGACGCAACACTCATTTGTGGCAGTGGAGTTTGACACCTTCCAAAATCCATGGGACCCCGAAGACCCTCATGTAGGTATGAATTTCAACTCTATGAAGTCCAATGTAACTGCATCATGGTTAGCTATTATGTCACAAGATGTGGTTTACAATTGTAGCATTGAGTACAATTCCACCACTTTTTGTTTAACTGCTTCTTTCACTGGCTTGAATTACAAAAAATATGGTCGAATACAAAATAGCCTTTCGTACCATGTTGATTTGAGAAAGCACTTACCAGAGAGGGTCATGGTTGGCTTCTCCGCAGCTGCGGGATATTATTTTGAGGATCATATTCTGAAGTCATGGTCATTTAGTTCAGGCTTAGAAATAGAAATTGGTGATACTTCCGGTGATGATAATAAAGCAGTTGAGTGGGTAGGAATTGGGATAGGTTTGGTGGTTTTCTTAGGATTGGCTTGTTTTCTGATGTGGAGAAGGATAAAAGGGAAGGAAAAAGTGTTGGAAATTGATCTAAAAATGGACGATGAGTTCCAAAAGGGAATAGGACCCAAGAGGTTTCGATACAATGAACTGGAAAGTGCAACGAGTAAATTTTCAGAGTCGGAGAAGCTTGGACAAGGAGGCTTCGGTGGCGTGTATAAAGGTTTTCTGAAGGATTTAAACTCCTACGTTGCCATCAAGAGGGTATCGAGAGAATCAAAGCAGGGGGTAAAGGAATATGCTACTGAAGTCAAGATCATTAGCCAGTTGAGGCACAAGAATCTGGTGCAACTCCTTGGTTGGTGCCATAGAGAAAAAGATCTCCTTCTTGTCTATGAATTCATGCCAAACGGAAGCTTAGATTTCCATTTATATGGGAAGGGCTTCTTGACGTGGCCAGTGAGGTATAACATAGCTCTAGGCTTGGCTTCAGCGTTGCTATACCTGCAAGAAGAGTGGGAACAATGTGTTCTTCACAGGGACATAAAATCAAGCAACATAATGTTGGATTCAAGCTTCAACGCTAAGCTTGGTGATTTTGGTTTGGCTAGGTTGGTGGATCATGAAAAGGGGTCGCAAACAACGTTTATAGCTGGAACAAGGGGATACATTGCACCAGAATATGTGACTACAGGGAAAGCTTATAAGGAATCTGACATATACAGTTTTGGTGTTGTGTTATTGGAGATAGCTAGTGGAAGAAAAGCCATTGATCTAAAGGCACAGGATGGGAAGGTATCAATAGTAGAGTGGGTTTGGGAGATGTATGAATTGGGAGAGATATTGAAAGTTGCAGACCCAAAACTGTGTGGAGCGTTTGATGATGAACAGATGAAAAGGTTAGTGGGTATAGGTCTTTGGTGTGCTCATCCAAATTACAGATTCAGGCCTTCTGCCATGCAAGTCATTCAAATGCTTAAATTTGAAGCTGAATTGCCAACTCTGCCAGAGTGGCTACCTGTTCATAATTTCTATCCTTCAACAGTAAAAATAAATTTTTCATCGTCTTCAAACACTGTAACTATCCAGGAAATTTTGTAGAAGAAACTATTCATATGGAAGTTGCTCGCCATTTTACTTTGGAAAAACTTAAATGTTTTTGTCAATTTTTTTACTGAACGTTCTAACACAAATAGTATAATAGTTTTTATTTTAAAATACAAAATAATATTTTCAATTAGTTTGCTTTAAAAGCCAAAATATTTTATGTCATAACTTAGCTTTACAGGTTATGGATTCTTCCTATCTCGATCATTTCCGTCAGATGTGAGTCACCTAAATGAACCTTAGAAAGATAAAAACACTTTTCTATAATTAAATTATTCTTTTCGTTTTATGAAAAAATATTTAATATTTATATTTTTAAATTTCATTATTTTATTTAAGTTTTATTAAATATCATATGTTTGAATAAATAAAAAGACGCATATTATGAAAATGCTAAAAATAAATTACATGTTTATTTAAATATCACATAAGGCTAGCGTCGTTAATAAAATGAAAAATGTGAATATATATATATATACTTTATTAATTATAATTTTAAACATTTTAATGATTTAGTTTAGAGTTCAGTCTTGCTTAGTTTATTTCTTTTGTGTTAATATTAATTAATAAAATCTGAATGTGAAAAGAATCCTGGGTTTTGATCAAATTGTTTTTAATTAATTCGATTGCTTATAAAAGTAATCGTTTGAAAATCACTATGAGTCATTTATTTTACATCTTCATCCCCTCCGATCCTCACATTCGTGGATCCCTTACTCAACACACCACAGGTGACTCTCTTATTGACTCTTCTTCGCGAACTATTACAATTTACAAAACTATTTTGGAATTTTTTACAAAAGCTATTTCGGATATGGATTTGTTGTATAAGCAAGGTTACTACCATTGTTGAATTGAAGAAAAGGGTTAATATGTTCGTCTGTTGATGTATCGTTAAATGATTGAGTTAATTTAATTAATGAATTAGGTAATTCGTTGCCTTCTTATATCCGTTATTGTCAACTCAGCCTGTGAGTTTTGGTCTTAACACTTGCAAGCATGAAATAATTATGTCAAATACAGTTTTCGTGATTGAATATCGATGACTAGGGATTTTTCTTGCAACTACAAGCATATCAATTCATGGACATTTTTCCATTTCTATGGCATGTGGCATTCTCTATCTATCCCTGACATCTCTGATTTGTTAGAAGATACATTTTATCGGCACATGAGGATAATAATAACCTGTAAATTCTTGCTGAACATTCCTGTGTTTTAGTTTCATGAAAAGTAAACTGATAGTTAATTGCGTTATGGTGGAGTAGAAAAAATATGAGTTCCAAAGGTGTTGATGAGCAGTGCCTGGGATGGGCGGCAAGAGATGCATCCGGAGTTCTATCACCTTACAAATTCAGTCGCAGGTATCTTCCTCTTAGATACCCCTTTATACAATGGGCTGCTGGAGTTTATGTTTTCTGTAAATGGTCATTTTTTTTTCATGGCAACCCTATTTCCAAAAGTAACTAGTTGCGATTCCATGTTGGGTGCCACATACTGATGTCAATTTGGTCATGTATGTATTTTTGTTATCATTTTTGTCTTATCTTGAGATAAAATTCGACTTTCTGACCTTTTTCTTATGATAATATGATTGTTAAGGAATCTTGGGAACGAAGATGTTCATATTAAAATTACACACTGTGGTGTTTGCTACGCTGATGTAATTTGGACAAGGAATAAACATGGTGACTCAAAGTATCCTGTTGTGCCTGGGTATGCACGCTTTTTTTTTTCGTGTGTATGGATGAGTCGTTGAGAATCCAATGTACTTTATCTAATCTGCTTATGTTTTTTTTTCGTATCAGTCATGAAATTGCTGGGATTGTGACAAAGGTTGGCCCTGATGTCCACCGTTTCAATGTTGGTGACCATGTTGGAGTGGGGACTTATGTCAACTCGTGTAGGGATTGTGAGTATTGTAACGAAAAAAAAGAAGTTCTTTGTACCAAGGGATCAGTCTTCACTTTTAATGGTGTTGATTTTGATGGTACAATAACAAAAGGAGGATACTCAAGTTATATAGTAGTCCATGAGAGGTAAACTTAACAGATGGCTAGATCCTAATTGTGAGTTTTACAATGTCTTCTGCTCTGAATTTTATCATAAGCTCTGAATGTACCCTTGATTTTATACTTACTACAGATATAGTTCTGCTTCATGTCATATTTAGTGTTGCTTCTGCAGGTACTGCTTCACGATACCAAAAGGCTATCCATTGGCTTCAGCAGCTCCTTTGCTTTGTGCTGGAGTTACTGTTTATTCTCCGATGGTGCGCCACAAGATGAATCAACCTGGAAAATCTCTTGGGGTGATTGGTCTTGGTGGCCTTGGTCATATGGCAGTGAAATTCGGAAAGGCATTTGGTTTGAGTGTAACAGTTTTTAGCACTAGTTTGTCCAAGAAAGAAGAGGCACTGACCTTGCTTGGTGCAGACAAATTCGTTGTTTCATCTAATCAAGAGGAAATGAAGGTAAGCGTAACATGAAGCATCTACTCATAACATTTTCATCAGATCATGAACAAAACACCGATATTGACAGACCCTCGTACTTCTTTGTCGTCAAAATTGGTGGTGATTCCTATATAGGCGTTGGCTAAATCGCTGGACTTTATAATCGACACAGCATCTGGTGATCACCCATTTGATCCTTACATGTCACTTTTGAAGCCATATGGTGTTTTTGTCCTAGTTGGTTTCCCTAGTGAAATCAAATTCAGCCCTGCAAGCCTTAATATAGGTATGTTTGTTTTGAGTCATAGTTTTGTAGGAATTATCAGTTATTCAATTCGGGGAATTCAATTTATTGATGCAGTGGAACTGCATATAAATATGCATCTTCTGTTTGACAGGATCAAAGACTTTCGCCGGAAGCGTTACAGGTGGTACAAAAGATATACAAGAGATGATTGACTTCTGTGCTGCAAACGATATTCACCCAAGGATAGAGGTGATTCCAATCGAATATGTCAATGAAGCTCTTGAGAGGCTCGTAAATAGAGACATCAAATACCGGTTTGTAATAGATATTGAGAACTCCCTAAAAGAAAATTAAGTTGCTTGCAAAACCAGACATGATTGGAGTTTATCATGTTAAAAAGGTAATGATGCTTAGTGGTCATATTTACTTCCATAGACATGGTTCCAATGGAGCGTTCAGTTTAAATAAAATGTTGAATTTTCTTTAACTGTTTTGTGTAACTGATATGATATGATTATTAGAAGATTTTTGGTCATGGAAATTAATATTGTGTTATTTTAATTTTAATAGTCTGTGCTCAGAAATTGTAAAGAGTGTTTTTCTTAATATGAATTGATCTGTATAATAAGATTATTGCCTCATTGTTCCGACCTCAAGCTACTAATCTACCAAAATAACATTGTTAGGGCGCTTTGGAGTAAAGCGGACTTCGATAATCCTGATATAGTGCGTCCTGAAAAGATACATATAAATCGTCATTAACTTCTATTCTAAATCATTGTAGAACTATTTTCAACGTAAAACTATATTCAAAATTGCGTTCCATTATTATTTTTTACCACGACCTCAATTATTTCACAATCCTCATCCAGTAGCCACAAATTTAAAATCTCCACATATAATATCGATCAAAATATTTTTCTTGGAAGCGAACACCTTTAATTTTCATATATTTATTGTTCATTTTGAATGAGTTACATGTTTGCTCCTAATAAATTATTTTAAATTTTTTCATATATTTGACGATCAATTTAAAACACTAATTAATCAATCAATATGGTTGATATTATTAAGTTTGGTCGTGGGTGTAAAACAAAATCGATTTTGCTAGACTCTGCACATTGTAATAACTTAATTGTCAACTCATCTTTCCTCACACTTTTGTTCAAATGCATGATGAAAATGCTAACATGTGTTCACCCAAATTTCATCTCCTACACACCGTGAGTTTTTGGTGTTGGTACTTTGCAAGATATCACCTGCAGCTTTAATCGTTTTTTATTACCGACTGGGGCAACAATTGTACAGAAATTACAAGCTCCATTAAACATTTTAACCAATGAAATCAATGTCTCATTCTCTGACGCTATGATACGGTATCCAGATGTCCTTTTTCTTGTGCCTGGGTAATATACAAGATTGGCTCGTGGTACACTTGACCCTTTACTATTATTTGGGAGGATGATGAAATATTTAACAAATCTGGCTTCAATGCTTCAAGGTCTGTAATTTGGCCTGTTCAGGCTAGATCAAACTCTACTAAAAAAACAGGATTTCAAGATCTCACTACAACAGCAATAGCTTTAACGGAAAGAGCTAGTTTAAGCTTGATTCCGATCAATAAAAAATTCCTTTTCTGCTGCTAAATCTAACCATTTGTTGACATTTTGCATTATGAAAAGAAACAGGTAAAGAATGCATAGAAATAAAAGCCGAGAATTCAGTAACAGCAATCTCAGGTGCAAAATCACAACCGTGTCACAGAGCGGAGCTGGCCATTCAGTCCCATAACCTGAACACCCTCCCCCCAACTTACAATTACAGAAAACGATACGAGTTCACAATAATCAAATCACCTGTCAACCATGTCACTAGAAGATAAACGTATGTCAAAATAAACACCCTTTTGAAGAATGACAACACAATTTATAACAAACATATAACTAAATGAAAATTAATTTTTAAAAATTGAACAGAAGAGGACAGATAAATCCCAATAAAATTGATGACAAAATACATGAAGCTTGGTAACTTCTAACTTAGAAGAAGAAACACATGAAGCTTCATTTGATTAATAATGATTAATACAAATCAAATCTCAAAATTTCCAACAAAAAAAGTACACTACGACCTCTCAAAACTTTCCAGTATTCTAAATCCTCCTTAGGCATGCTGGTAATGGTGCAACTTATACAATAAAACTTTGCCTGAAGCGTTTCCCACAGCCATGAAACCACCACCTGGACTAAAATCAATACAGCGAGGATAATACAGGCTCCTATTAGGAGGTGGCCAGTTGGAAAACACAGTATAGGATGGGATATGTATTAATTTTAAGCTGCTCTTCTTCATGCCAGAACAGATTGCTAATATTTGAGAGTCATGATTAAATCTCATAAAATCCACTCTCGTAGTCAAATTCTCTATGGCCTTGATAGGCTTTTTCTTGCCCCCAAGAAATTCCTCTCTGTTGTAAATATTCACAATTCCACTGTCTGAACCGGTTGCAAAATGAGTCCCACTTGGGGAAGTACATAGTGCTGTGCCGTTTATGCAACCTTCATCTACACCTTTATGCATGCAAGTTCTCGTTCTCAGATCCCAGTGGTAAACATGGCCATCACCGCCACAGCTTAACAACTGCTGTCCATTCTCAGCAAAAGCTAATGAACGGACTGTTCCATTCATCTTTAGTGTACCAACTAATTGCTTTGTTTTCGTTGAAACCAATAATATATAACCTTCATTACCTATAAATGCTATCAATTGAGAATCAGGAGATACTTCAAAATCCTCTATACTCTTCTCCTCCCTACCAACCAGAGGACCTATTTTATCAACTCTAGCTTTAACTAAATCAAAACTATAAAAAAAATTTCTTCTTCCGGATACAATAACCTGAGACCCATCAGGCAAGAAAGACGCTTTTCGAATGGGGCAATCTTCAAGGAAGATGCTCTGAATTTTAGTATTCCGCTTGCCATCAATTTGAAAGAATCTAAGCTTCCGATCCAATCCAGCGGCGAGAAAAAGCTGCCCATTCTGATGGAATTGAACTGAATTTATGGGCCCATTAGAAGGATCCTGTATATTTGCATCCACAAGTCTGGAGTATTCAAGATGTCCGGACAACAATTTTGCACCACTCTTCACAACCAGGTCTTCATTTGTCTTGAGAACGCCATCCAAATCCTCAAAACCTCGGCTCACGATAGCTTCGTTTTCATCATCAGTCGACTCATCATCGGAACCTCTATCCGTTTTAGAATCAACCCGTGCCCATTCTGTTCCTGGGTTGAGCTTAACATGCTGAGCCCTCAATCTTGACACATACTCTGAACCCGAGATCAAATCCTCGCCCTCTTCCTTCCTCAACTTCCTCAATCTGAAAACCTTGGCTATGTTCACAGTGGCATTTTCTTCTTCGTCATCCACCCACACAGGTTTCCTTTGTAAAGCACGTTCATCATCATGTCCACGATCTCCCTCGGACAAGTCAGCATCTTCTTTTTGGTAAACTGAGAGAACAGTATCCGCAGACCGGTCAGTGAAGAACAAACCCGAAACCTTTTCAGCAGCCTTCCCGGGCTCCACTTCTTCGTCTTCCTTTCCAAACTCAACAGGGGAATAGAGAGAACCAAACAAAAAACTCTCAAGTTTCTTCATTTCTTTCACTTCTTCTCCCTCGAATTCTTTCTTCCTCTTCCTCACTTTCAGAGTATCATTATTCTTGACATCATCTTCAACCTCCCTCTTGCTCTTAATAACCTCGTTTTTAGTGCGAACATGTTGGGATATCAAACTCATCTTCCACAACCCAACCTGCAAGGTAAATAAAGTTCAACCAATTTGCCATTTAAGAACTACAACAATCATAAAATTGAATACGAAACAAAAGAGCAGAATCAGCGAGACAGCAAATAAGAAATTCATATGAAACAAAAAACTATTAAAAGTTACGATGGCTAAAATCAAACGCATAAAGGGATACGAGGAAAATTAAATCAACTAAATGAACGCCGACAAAAGAGCGTGAATACCTCGTTAACGGACACTTTTGGAATTGAACGCGACGGTGGTTGCAGAGTGAGCCTCACGACGGAAGCGTTTTTAGGTTTTAGCTCAGAGAAAAAGCTGCAGCAAGGGTTTTAGCAACTGGATTGGGCCTTTCTCTTCTAACGGGCCGTGCCAGTTTTTACTTCATACAGAGTGGGAATGTCTCCTTGCACCCCCACCCCGAAAATACAAAATAACTAAATCGTCCTTAAATACTTTTTAAACTTTGTTGCATAGTGCTGTCAAAATGGGTTGTGATCCGCGGGCCAATTCGAATCACCATGAGTTTGAGCCGGGTTGGGTTTGAAAAAAATATAATTTTTTTTTATGTTAGTTAGTTTTTCACCCAGCTTACTTAAAACTCGGCTCACCGGGTTGAACCTGTGGTTAGTCCCGTCTCACCAACCCATTTTACTTTAATTTAATTATTTATTGTTTTGTGTTTCAACATTATTAGTTAGCATTTTTTTTATTATATTGTAAATGGTGATAAAAAAGAAGATGTTTGAGAAAAATATTATAGATTTATCTATGTTTAAACCCTTTAGTTGATCCTATTTATATGGGTTTTTCCCAGTTTGATTCCGACTTATTAGAATCCCCAATTGAGTCCTTAAAAATGCTAATTTGAGTCAATTGAGGCCCTGCCGTTAAATTTAGTTAACGGGGATTAAGTTTTTGCACAAATGGGAGGGTGATGTGTCAATTTTTGAACACGTGGCATGGTGAGAATTGAAACGTGGAATTTGGCAACTTGTGAAATTATAATAATATGAATTTCTGAAAAACAAATTGTAGAACTGAAACTAAAGTTTTTAGAGAGGCCAAAAACATTTTTTTTCTCAACTTAAAAAAAATCAATTCTAATCTAAATGTTCTCTTCGTCCCCAATTCTTCATCTTCTTCAAACAACAATTTTTGGCTCACGACCAACTACATACACCGCAAGCTTCCATCTTTCAGCAATGAACCTCACTACATCTCTTTTTTCCTTTATCATAAGAGAGAAAATATGGATTTTTTGACCTAGTGTATTTCCCCTGTTCTTGTCAAGAACCAAAACCTTGCATCTCTCCTCAACAGATAAAACCCATTTAGGATCACGTCTCAACATGTCAGAAAGCAATTCAAAAGCAACAGGATTGTCACCAAAATGGAGAGAATCCAGATTTGGAGCAGTTATCTCAAAGGCATCTGCAAGTACCCGTTTACGTTCTAACTTAGCACAGTCATCATACACATCAGTTTTCTTAGTCCAAGAGAAACTTTCTTGCCATTTGCAGCAACAGGTTGAAGCAACACAGACAAATTTTGGATAATGGAAGCTTCGTGTACAACATCGACATTATAATTAACAGAGCTTCTGAAAAGGGATTTAGGGTTCAATAAAACTGAATTTGGGATTAAAAATCTAAGAGGAATTTGGGATTAAAAATCTAAGAGGAATTTGGGATTTAAAGTATTGGGATTCAATTTGGGATTCAATTTGGAAGATGAGCGAAGTCGCAATTTAGGGTTTCTGGTGCGAAGAGATTTGGGGCTTTCTGTGTTTCAGGTTTTGCAGGTTGCGAGGAAGTGTTTCGCGATAAAGGAGATGAAGCAAGGAGTTTCGTTTCGCGGTGATGCTCATGGTGATGCTGTGATTTTGGAGCTTTTTGTGCTATAAGTTTCGAGATTTCACGGTGGCTCTGACGAAACTCGTGATGGCTTCTTCTTACGGTGGCGTGAGGGTTTGCGTTGGTGGAGGGAGACGAGCATCGCTGGCACTACGAAGGAGGTGATGGAGCGTGATGAACTCTAGTGACTATATGAAAAATTGGAAAAAACAATCAAACAGGTTCAAAAGCACATTACTCTGACATCAACATGTCATGTTTCAAAAAAGTACACATCAACCTCCCACCTGTACAAAAACTTAACCTCGTTAACTAAATTTAACGGTAAGGGCTCAATTGACTCAAATTAGCACTTTTAAGGACTCAATTGGGGATTCTAATAAGTCGGAGATCAAACTGGAAAAAACTCACATAAATAGGGACAACTAAAGGGTTTAAACCATTTATCTATTCAAGACGTTAATATTGTAAATGGACAAGTGATATAAAAATTATTAAAGTTAAAAACTTATTTGTTCGTCCTTTTATACATGTTTTTTTTATTACGCTTGGATTGTATGATTTTTTTTTTATTCTTTAGAGTTTAATATCATTTTAGTGTGACGTTTATTTAAATTTGAATTAAAAAAATTGTAATTTCTTATTATATAAAAGACTTATAATTAAATAAGTGAGTAAGGGAATCTGTTTAACCCATCAATCCATAGTGGGTCGGATTGGGTTTAAATTTTTTAACTTTGCTCACTAAATGATCAATCCTTGGTGGACTGGACCAGGTCGAATCAGATTACCTATTTTGACAATTTAAGATAAATTTTCATTTGAAGAAATACCTTTGTATATCACCTATTACAATATAAGAAATACCTTTCTATATCACCTATATAAGGAAAATATACTAACAAATTTGTTTTATTACTTATTTTATTTTGTTGATGAATATTTTAAAGGCTAACTTTTTAAATAGAATTTTGTTGATTCTATCTAAAAGTTAATTATAAACTTAAAAATATTTATTATTTTTTTTTCAGTCTCTAATTTTATTTTTAACAAACACACAACCAACGTCATCAACCTTAAAACTAGTTCTATTTAAAATAAAATAAAATTATCATTAGAAAATAAGTTTTCTAAGACTATATTAAAAGTCAATCTACCTCGTAAAAAATTTATATTTTTCAAGAAAATAATTCAAAAGATTTTTAACATGTTTTTAAAAGAGCATTTTATAATAATTTTAACACTCTTTTAATTAAAGGTTATTTTGTAATAGTAAATCTTATTAAAGGTATTATGAAATTAGCTTTTTAAATATTGGAGAGCGCATTTCAGACTTTGTAATGGTCCAATTTGATTAATATGCATTTCGTTTACACGTTATTATATAAACTCATTTTTTAACCAATGTTTCATACCACATTTTTAATTAAAATTTGTCACCTTCATTGCTATAAGGATAGCTTCTCTTTGATTGAAAAAAAAGAAGAATTTTCTTATTGGATTTTAGCATTTGTCGTATCTTACAATAGGGAAAGAAATAAATCTGTGATATAATGAAAACTAAAATATATAAAGGGAGCGTGTAACTGGTATCAAACGTATTATATTTAACACGTAAATCAAACTTTTTTCTGAAATAATATATATTCCAAGAAAAGTTTATCAAACTAAATTCATTTCTATTTTATTTTCTAAAGTATACGTTTTTATTGTTCATGGTGGTAATTCAATTTTCTATAATCAATTTTGATATTCATTTGTCCATTCCAGTGTGGAAAAGCGAGTCAATCAAAATCTTCAGCCTAAGAATGAATAAATAAATGTCAGAATTCTATTTTCCCGTTATCTAATTCTGACCCTCAAAAGTAAAAAAAGGTCTACTTAATAAATACGATACAGCTAAATTTAGTTGGTAATTTTTTTATGATATATATTATTTCAGAAAAAAAATCACGTAAATCTTATTTATAAAATTGTACATTAATATTTATTATTCTTCACATAAATTTTTTTAAAAGACATTCATGACATCATTTTTATATATCAAAACAGCAATTTTCTTAAAAAAGGTTGGAGTTGTTTTTTTATTCTTAAAGGGGATTAATGAACCTTCCTCCTATTACTTCCCCTGACGTAGTGCTATAATTGCCTCTCTTTCATTATTGATTATTGTCTTTTTCAGCCTCTCACCTTCTCCTTTTCCACGAAATTTCATTTTTAGATAAAAGAAAAAATAGTTTATGTGTGAGTTTGGTCAAGAAGTAGCATTCGTGTTGAGAAATGTGATGCAACTTTTATTTATCTAATAGCAAAATGTTAATATGCTACATTATATTTCATAAAATAAAACAAGCTACCCAAAGGTGGTGTTATTAAAAAAAAAAAGTCTCAAAGGGCATAAATTTTTATTGCTTAAAAAATTTTAAATTAAAAACAAGAGATACTAAGTTCACCTTAGTTTCTTGTAATTTTTTTCTATTATTAAATTAATAATAAAAACTATATTTTTTAATTGAATATTTAGCATTTAATCTTATTAATTAGAAAATTTGATATTTATTTTATTTTGCAACTTCTTTGTTTGTCTTCATTTTTTTTATAATTTTCATGTCATCCCCTGCATTTAATCTTCATTTTTTTTTTAATTTATGATAATTTAATTGAAAAGTATAAATTTAGAATAAAAATTATAAAAATATCTAAAATAAAAGGAGTTAAAACTTAATAAATAAAGACTAATTTGATAACCGGAAATTGTATGATCAGCAGGCCTAGCCGTTTGGACTTACACGGTGAGTATGGGTCCTGTGAGTGTGACTTGGTCGATTTGATTTTGATCAGAACAATTTAACTCCAACTAACCTGTTTTTCTACATTGCAAGGTTCGTTAAGGCATAACTACAAGACAGTAATACAAATCCAAAAATCATTAAAAACAACGAATAAAATCATTGTCAAAGTTACATAAATAAGAAAATCAAAGTATCATATGATTAGTATAGCCAAGAAAGGTTTCTAAATGAACTCTTTCACAGAGATGGCTCCTGGCCATGTTGGTCTCCGTGCAACAAACCATCTATTCTGTGTAATGATGTTCTTATTTCTTATGATCAGTTTTGCAAACCCACTTTCATTTCGTCACCAGGGATTTGAGTATAATGATATCAAGATTGAAGGAGATGCTATTTTGTCAGAATCAGAAATCCAACTCACTAAAACCACCAGGTATCAGAGCAATGCTTACAGTGTTGGGAGAGTCACTAGTTTTGAAAGATTGCACCTTTGGGACAACATCACAGGAAAACTGACCGATTTTACTACCCAATTTTCCTTTGTCATTTTCTCAAACGAGACTAGTTTTGGAGATGGCTTGGCTTTTTTCTTAGCAGATCCAGGGCTTCCTCTTTCGAATCAAATACAACAAGGAGGTGGTCTTGGTCTTCTGGATGGTAAACAGTTATTGAATTCAGCTAAGCATCCCTTTGTAGCTGTGGAGTTTGACACATTCCAAAATTTATGGGACCCACCTGGCACTCATGTAGGTATAAATTTCAACTCCATGAAATCTAACAAAACTGTTCCATGGTCCCTTGATATTAGGCAAATGAAAGCTTGTTATTGTGTGATTGAGTACAATGCAACTACTCACATTTTGAATGTTTCTTTCTCTGGAAACAATCTCAATGCCAAGCCAACAAAAAGATATATCTCATGCAATGTTGACCTGAGAGATTACCTACCAGAGTGGGTTATATTTGGTTTCTCAGCTGCTACAGGAATTATGTTTGAGTTGAACACAGTGCTGTCATGGTCATTCCATTCAACTTTACAAAGTAATCAGAATCTGTCAAATAAGATACCTCCAATTGCAGTCTCACCAAGCCCAAATCCTAGTCCTTCACCATTTTCCACTGACACTATTAGCCCTAAACAAGAGGAAAACAAAGGTTTATTGATGGGACTAGAAGTTGGGGTAGGCATAGCTGCAACTTTCCTTATTGTAGGGTTGGTTTGTGTTTTAATGTGGAAGAGGAGGGCTAGAGGAAAAAGAGAAGATTCAATTATTGATCTGAGCATGGATGATGAATTCCAAAAGGGCATTGGACCAAAAAGATTTTTCTATAAAGAATTGGCAAGTGCAACAAGAAACTTTGCAGAGTCACAAAAGATTGGACAAGGTGGTTTTGGGGGTGTGTATAAAGGCTATTTGAAAGAATTGAACACCAACGTTGCTATAAAGAGGATATCAAGAGAATCTAGACAAGGAGCAAAGGAATATGCAAGTGAAGTTAAGATCATCAGCAGACTAAGGCACAGGAATTTAGTGCAATTAATTGGTTGGTGCCACATGAAGAAAGATCTCCTTCTTATATACGAGTTCATGCAAAATGGTAGCTTAGATTCCCACCTATATAGTGGAAAAAGCATCTTGACATGGCAGATGAGGTACAACATTGCCATGGACTTGGCTCTGGCAGTGTTGTACCTTCATGAAGAATGGGAGCAGTGTGTGCTTCATAGGGACATTAAATCCAGCAACATTATGTTGGATTCAAATTTCAATGCTAAGCTTGGGGATTTTGGCTTAGCCAGGCTTGTTGATCATGAGAAAGGATCCCAAACTACAATTCTAGCAGGGACAAGAGGCTACATAGCCCCTGAATACTTCACTACAGGGAAGGCTAGGAAGGAATCTGATATATACAGTCTTGGGATTGTTTTACTGGAGTTAGCCACTGGAAGAAAACCAGTTGATCTCAATGCCATGGAAGGCCAAATAACCATATTTGAGTGGGCTTGGGAGCTCCACCAATTGGGAAAATTACTTGAAGTGGTTGACAAAAAGCTTGGAGGAGCATTTGATGAGGAACAGATGAAACGTTTAGTGATTGTTGGCCTTTGGTGTGCCAATCCAGATCATACATCCAGACCATCAGTAAGACAATTGATTCAAGTGCTTAAGTTTGAAGCTCCTTTGCCAGTTCTCCCACAAAAGTTGTCTGAGCCTTATTATCATTCTCCAACTATGAGTACAATATTTGCTTCAATCTCTTCTCCCCTCTCTGGCTACATGGTAGAACCAAATACAATGTAAGTTGTAACCAATAGAGGAATTTGATGCACATAAAGTTATTGGAATAGTAATGTTTCTTGAGTTTGGTACTGACATCTCTCAATTCTAGTACAGCATAGGATACAGCTATAGAGAGTTAAAGATCTTTTAAACTCTTTGCATTTTGTGCATGCACACTTGTTTTCTTGTGATTACGTAGAATTGTAAATTTGTGTTGCAGAAACATAGAAATGAAATAAATAACTGTGATTACGTACCAGTTACTTGAAGTCTTTTTCTTGTCGTTTTGGAGTGACATCCATAGCCAGATGAAAGAATTTGGATGGAGAAAACATTGGTTTCATAATGAAACTTAAGTTTAATCATATCAGATATTATAATCACTGTGACACCCGAGCACTGACGAGGGCGGAGAGTGATCGCCGGTGCAAGAGGCACGAAGTGCAAGGGGCACTGACAAGGAGCGTCTCCTGGCAGGCTTCCATTGGAAGGGGCACATGGACGAATCGAACATACACCGGAATGAGAGAGATCTAGAGACTGTATAGGTATGAGACTATACAGTTGAATGATAGCTTAAAGGGATTGATTTGGCTACTCATATCATCAAATGCATTTGCTTTTTGGTAGCCTAACTCATAAGAACTACATGGTTAAGCGTTGTCGGGACGTTACAATCACTCAACTAAAAATTTTAAAATAATCGATTTTAGAATTTTATTTTTAGAAAATGTTTCACTTTCTTATTTCTATTAAGAGATTTATTCGTTTAGATTAATTTAGAACTGAATTAGATGCACTGCTCTGAAAACAGGATGAGATCCACATTTTGTTGGTTTGTTTGAAAGGCAAGTGTTCAAAGTTAACATCATTATCCTCTTCACCAAATGTTCATGTCAATAGATATCAGTCTTGAATTGCTTCAAATCTTTAACGTGTTTTTTTCTCAAACACATTGCTTGCACTGAACCTTAAAAGTTGTTTAACTTGTCACAAAACATATATCTTTAAAAAATGCGAGGCATTTAATAATTGATATTTCTTGATATGGTGGTCATGTGCATATTCCAATTTCCAGGAGCTGTAGATGGAGTTTTTGGGTTTATGAAGTATGTAACATTTTTTAAACATCATTGATAGGATCTAACCTAGAAAGAATTCATATTCTGGTGCATTGCACTGAATCTTTTGTAACTTAACCATTCCTTTGATCACACTGTCCACAAATAAAGTAACACATCTCTATGAATGATCTTTTCTATGGGTATCCTAAATGAGGCATCACAATTGATAAATAAGGAATGGAAAATTAACCACTAATTCTCATAAATTAAAAAATACATTTTCTCATTTTGAATATATATTTTTTAATTTAAATAGTTTTCCTTTTATCTTTTATCTTTATTTTTTTTTCACAGCTTTATATGGTGATTTTTTTAATATAATTTTAACGTGTTTCCTTTAATAATAAATAAATTTGTTCAATTTTTAATTTGAATATTTGAATTTTTTGTTACTCCCATTGACAACTTATTTACTTATTTCATTTTGAAATATTATACTGAGTAAAATATTATAAAAAGATTAAAATTAAAGTTTAAAAATAAAAGGTTAAATACTTCGTATGAATAAAATTGAATGATTTAATTATTATCTCTTTAAAATATCATAAAAGTTATATAATCATTGAATTATAATCAATTTTATAAGAATGAGTTAAAATAAAAGCATTACCTTTTTTATAATAATATAGAATAATAAAACTATGATTATAAAAATTCTGCTAAATCATTATCACGTCATTTAAAATATCACAAAAAAATATATAAGTATAATTTTTCTATAAATGAACTATTCAGTCCTTATATATATATATATATATATATATATATATATATATA